GCAAGGACTAAAGGTGTGTGTCACCATCCAGGCTCTCAAAAATTCTCAGCGAAAATTTTGTCCTATCAGTTTTTTTTTCTGTTTTTTTTTTTTTTTTTTTTTTAAGGCCCTTAATTTGGTGTGCTGGCCTCAGCAAACACTGTTCATTGTGGGAAGGATGTAATGTTTTGCTGCAGTCTTGAACGAAGAAACTAATCTTGCTAAAAGATGGCATTACTCTGGCCAAGATTTAAACATGTGCAGAATATGCTATTTGTGGAAAAAGCTGGTGCTGGGGGTGGTATAGATCTTGCTTGTATGTGCACAAGTCTCTCAGGAGAGATCTGAGGGAAGGCTCACCCGGGAGTGGGAGGAAATGGCAGGAAGGGACCCTTTTCTCTGGGGCTCCTTGGCATGCTTCAAATTTGGGCCACCTAAGTACCTGTTAACATGAAAGGAGAGTTAAGAGTACCAGAACAGGTTGCTGGGGACATGAGGACAAAGCCTCCTTGGTAGCTTTTCAAACTGGAGCCCTGTCAGAATCTGGCTGTGTTAGGGGCTGGACCATGAATGAGTACAGCTCATTCACTGGATAGGGGAGTACTATAGAGCTCCAGGACTGGAGCCAGGGCCAGTTCCTATTTCTTTTACATGGTCCCCCAACACAGAAGTAAAATGTACCTGGCCTTACCTACCAGGACGGGAAATGAAGTGGCAGGTGGGTTTGTGTCGTGTCTCTACCCTGGTCCTGGAACTCACCCAGAAGTCTGCAGGATGTTGCCATTGCTTCCTGAGAATGGAAGACCAGCACATAGATGCCCACTGGGGTCAAGGACCAGTGTGGCCCAGAACTGTCACAGCAGCACAAAAGCCCTGGAGCAATAAACTAAGGCACTGGAATTTCTCCAGGAGCTCCCATGCTCAAGTTGGTGCGAGGAAGGAACTGTCCCCACTAAAAAGTCTGACAAGTTGTAACCAGTCTCACAGCTGATCCTGCCCGCCCTCAAAGCTGTTTTCTTTTCTATAGATGAAGCTCTGCCATAGAAAGGCCAAAGAGAAACCCAGAAAAACTTTTCCTTCTTATCAATTTGGCCAAAACTATAAATAAATCCATTTTTTCTATACCAGTTGGTTTCCTAACCTTTCAGAATGTAGGGAGACTAAGGTGATGGATGATGAACCTGAGTGTTGAGTTAAAACAAAAGCAAAAACGAAAAAAAAGCTCTGGAAGATTCCTAAACTCTACTATCAGTTAAAACACTGCTCCAGCCAGGTGTGGTGGCACACGCCTTTAATCCCAGCACTTGGGAGGCAGAGGCAGGCAGGTTTTTGTGAGTTCAAGGCCAGCTTGGTCTACATAGTGAGTTCCAGGACAGCTGGGGCTACAGGGAGACCCTGTCTCAAAAAGACCAAAAAAAAAAAAAAAAAAACCAAAAAACACTGCTCCATTTTTATCTACTGTTTTGAAGGCAGTGAGGCATCCTGATCACCCAACTTGCCAGCGAGAGTGGTGGTGGACCCTTCAGCATGGGGCTTATGCGGGTGTTGGGTAATGGCAGATGCATTTTAGCTACATTCCCACCACAGCCCTGTCCCCACTCAAGGCCTCTGCCCACTGTACTAGCCTTGTACCTCCATGCTCTCAAGAAGGCCTCAAGATGCCCCACCTTACTTCCCTTGTCCACTGACTATACCTCAAGGGTTGGCATAGTAGGAAAAGAGGGATTTCACAATTTATCAAGACCTGAGTACAGGCACAGGCCACCTGAGATATAAGATGTTCTCATCTGTCTCCATGAGTTGAGTGAATATGGAGGAAGGGCATCTGGTGAATCCCTTCATTTCACAGATGGGGAAACTGAAGCCCACGAGGGAACAAGGAACTGACCTTGGTCTCACTGAGATCTGGCTCTTAAGAGGAAACTGGCTGGTCACGATTCGGGGAGATGGGGGGAGACAGCCCCTAAGGCAGGAGTCCTGGAGAGGGATGGTGGGGTCTCTGAGATGTAGTTTTTCCTGATAGCAGGGAAGGATGGGAGGGAGGCCTAGGGGAGAGCCTGCATTGCTGGCCATGCCAAGAAGCCCCAGGCCAGCAGCCCAGAGACTAGCACAGGGAGGGGTCCTAGAAGTCCACTCGGGTACAACCCAGTTAAGAGGCTTAGGCCAAGACAGAGGCATTTGCGAGTGTCTTCTTCAGCAGAAGGGCATGTATGGGGTGGGCCTAAGCAACCCCATGGGAACAGAACAAACAGCATCTGGAAAGCCACCAGGCTTGCTAGAGTTGGCCACTAAGGCAAACAGTGGTTGTGAGTACAGGTGGAGCCACCTGTAGGAGATCTGCATCAGATGACATGGCACTATGGAACAATAGTGGGAAAACAAGTGGTGTTCTTTGCCCCAACCTCACCTATCCAACCTGGAGGTTTGAAGGTATCATTGAGAATGACTCTGCTCACACTTGGAAAGTGGACAGACCCATGGACCTTGGGTTTGAGAAGGGATGGGCCTCATTCAGTGGATGTGAAGTGTCATGCTTTGGAAAAGTGGGACTGGTTGGGGGTGACTGGGATGGGGGAGGGGAACATAGCAGCTGCCCTCCCCAAAGTGCACAGTTGGCTATTTGTTCCAAAGGACTAAGAAGTACGGTGGGCACGGCTGTCACTGAATCATTTGTTTCGTGTTTTTCTTGCACTCCAAGGTGTGACCACCTTGTAGATGCTCCCACTGGCTACAGAGCCTCAAACGTTCACAGATTTGGGGTGGCAGTTCTTCTGGCTCCTGTGATTGCCTCCAGGTCTCCCACATACCCACATAGCAGGTGCCCAGCTTACCTCCTCTGCCAGAGATCTTAACTTTAGGCCCATGTGAGGCCCTGAGCCCTAACTGGGGAAATGGAGCAAGCCCATGGCCTGCCTTGGGAGCCAGCAGCAACACAGTCATGTGCCTCAGAGTGTGAAGGAGTTGGAATAGAGCTGGTGGAAACCTGAGCCCCTTCTCTATGTGGAGCAGAAGGGGAGTCCTGCCTGAGAAGAGGAGTTAGGCCAGGTAGAAGAGAGTATAAAGCAGAACAAAGTTCTGAGTTGGGAACATAGGGGTTTGGGCAAAGCTCAGCCTTAAGCTTAAGCCTGGGGTTGGGGGTACAAAGGAGCTGAGGAATGTGTCAAAAGCCGGAAGTAGGGAAGGTAGCCTGCTACACAGGTGCTCCGATCCCCAGCCTGCACACATGCCACTCAGCATGAAAGCAAGCAGGGTGCCCTTTCATGAGAGCAGGATGAGATTGGTGGGTGGGTTGGGGAGACCCTAAGCTAGGGAGGGTATTGCTTTGGGACCGCTATTAAAAGGAGGTCCTTCTCTAAAGTTGCAAGAAGGCCCCAAATAGAGGGGCGATACACTTGCAGATTCAATCCCATGAGCTTTGATTCTTTCTAAACATCACCCTTCAGTACCCACTTCAAGGATAGTGGTGAGTTGTCTGGGTGTGGAGCCCTGCCTCTCTCCCAAAGCCAGGATGCCTAAGACTAAGAGAGGCCCTGGGTATGTGGCCTAGGCAGGTGCTGCCAAGCCTGCTATGGACTGGAATGGGAGAGGGTGTGGATTTGCATGTCACCTAGATTGGATTGGGTGCCTCCAGGGTCTGGGTGGTTCTGAAGACACCCATGACTTGTTCTGTTTCAAGCCTGGGCTGGGCACACAATGTCCTACCTGGCCTGTGGGTATGTACTGGTGTCACATACACACACAGATGATCAGCAAGGACAATGGACAAGGCCCCTGGCAACCATGTCCAGGAAGGACCCTAGACCCCTAGTCTCTCACTGCAGGCTTTCTGAAGATACAGGTGGACTGTCAGTTCTGAGGCCTCACTCGGAGTCAGAAGTAAAGGGGCTCCTGTTCCTAGGCTGCATCCCTTCTCTCCAGAGCTCCTTGGTTTCCAAATTTAAATTATATGGGATTCTTAAAATCACATTTCATCTAGAATGTTCTTGCCAAGAGGCTGTCAACCAGTGTGGGGCCAGCAAAAGTCTACTGACCATGCTTCAGGAATGGAGCACATGCAGCAACAGTCCCTCTCTATAAGCTGATGACAGACTTGACTGCTCTCAAAGGGCAGACAGTGATGGGAGGGTGAAGCAGGTTCTTTCCTTTAGGGAAGACCCAAACTGGCTCTGACTAAGCAAAACTGGAGTATGTGATGACTTCCCAAAGGAAACCAGGCTCTTGTGACACAAGAGCTGATTCTGCCCAAACTCCTGCCCCCTACTCAACCCCAAGGAGCTCCTGAGCTTGGCAGGAGGGACCCCAGGTAAAGACATGAATCACATTGGACCTTGGAGATAATTTTGTTTTTGAACATGCCCTGAAGGCCTGTACCTCTGCTGTCCTAACAAGAATGATACAGATGGCACCCCTCCAGCCTGGTGTGTTCTCAGGGAATTGCTAGGGGTGGAGAGCTGGGGAGTGGGCAGAGTGGCTCAAGGGTAACTACATCCTGTGCATCTGACCCACCGAGGTGCCGGAAAACTATCCCAAAGTTCTGCAACAAGCAATTTTCCAGATCAAGACACTGGAGCACTGACAACTGATTGGCGGTGGGGCCTGTGCTTTGCTCATTCAGAACAGGGAGGGAAAGGCCGGCTGACGGGGCATATCCAGTCTACTGGGCAATCAACTCTGCCCCTTCTCCTGCTCCCCACTCTTGCACACCAGCACATCATAGCTGCAATTCATGGTGGGAACACAGTTTGGGATTCCCGCCCAGAGTAGAGGACCTGCTTCAAAAGGCAACACTGAAAAGTGATTAGCAAACGTCCGATTTCCTTTGATTCTTAGTCTATGGCCCCAGGACTCGGTGCAGAAGGGAAGACTGGACAAAAGATCATCCGAACAGCTGGCTGGGGGGGGCGGGGGCGGGGCGGGCGCTGGATAACTCCTAGACTGCCGTGGCATCCTCCATCACCCCACCTTTCCAGTCCGTGTTCCCGCCCAGCACTAATTCCTCCACAAGCCAAAGAAGCCGAAGCTGAGGAAAACAAGGTCTCTAAACCGTTTATTTCTTCCGATCAGGAGAGGTGGGCGTCCATACCGGCGAGGCTCCAGGAGGCCAGGCCAGCCCTCAAGCGAAGGTAGAGCCGTTCCAGCCCACGTTGGCCGCGTTCATATCGTAGAAGTTGATATAGATCCTTCGAAGGTGAAAGCAGAGCTCAGCGGCCCACGCGGTTCGGGGAGCAGGACAGTGTCCTATGCGTGCACCCTGGGGAGTCCGCACTCCCACCCCCCCCGACCCCCCCATACCTGTCCGGGCTGATGCGCAGGCGATCGGCCAGTAGGCCGCACAACAGCTTGCTGTACGTGCGGTTTTGCGGGCCTCCGATCTTTCCAATGCTGTGCAGGCTGCAGAGCGCGCAGGGGTCGCTGGAGCCGCCGAAGGCCAGGAGCTGGTCCGGAACCACTTGCACTGCGATGTACTGGGGGGAGGGGGAGGGTCGCCTCGGTCAGCTCGCCCTGGACGCGGACATCCACTGAGGGCTCGCGCCGCCACCCTCCCGCCTGCTCGGGTCCCCAGCCCCGGCGCCCATCTCCTGCGCTCACACCCTCTTCCCGTCCGCCCCTGCAAACCTGGGCAGGCTTGCCGGTGGCCTGCGACAGCTGCTGCGCAAGCTCGGAGAGGAGCGAGTCCGGCACAGAGGCGCGGGGCACGTTGGTGTTCACGATGAACATCGGCATGATGGCGGCAACACGGCGGGTCTGGGCGGAAGGTTCAGGACCCACGAGGGAGCAGACGCCGGAGGACCTGAGCTACGTGACCGCTGCTCGGTTCCGCCCCCAGCGAGAATGCGGCTCCACCTCTTGCTACGCCACCGACGGCGTCGGGCCACGCCCCCGAAGGGCACCGCCCCCCGCCCCGCGCGTGCGTGACGTCACGGGCACAGGCTGCGTGTGTCTCTTTGGGACCCGGGTCTTGGAGGCCATGGAAGCCTACTGGTTCATAGTTCGTGGGTTCTTCCACTTACTGGTCTTAACTTTCCTGGTGTCTTGGCAGCTTCGGAGCCGCTTAGCAGTGTGCTTCCCGGTGCCCCATCACAACGCCAAGGCAGAAGAAAACCTCAGCCGTGCCCACTGAGACCTTTTGTGTGTCCTTAGCATCCTAGGCCACGTGTCCCCAAGGACTGTGTGTGTGTGTGTGTGTGTGTGTGTGTGTGTGTGTGTGTGTGTCTGTGTCTGTGTCTGTGTGTCTGTGTCTGTGTGATATGGAAGGAGGCTGAGGGCAAGTCACCATCAGGTACTTTGCTCTTCCCACTCGAGTGAGGATGCTTCGAGACCTCCAGGGGAGCCACAAGGAGCTGAAAGTGAGCTAAAGTTACCTAGCCTCGGGCCTTACACTAGTAATCTTAAATTGGGCAACTGCCCACCCTCAGAGAAGCCCTGCCCCAATTAGATCCCTCCCTTAGAGCCCTTGGTGAACTTTGTATGGCTTTCTCTTTTTCTTTGTAAAAGTGCCTCCGTGCAGAAGGCATCAGAGCCCCTGGAGCTGGAGTTAACAGATGGTTGTGAGCCGACATGGGGGTGCTGGGAACCGAACCTCGGTCCTCTCCAGGCCCTGGCTTTCTTATTAATAAGTCAGACATCTGGGCAGGTGCCCAGCAGCCAGGAAATGTCACCGGAATCTCGAGGCTCCTGTTGCCTCCTAGTCCTTTTTGATTTCTGTTTGAGGAACTGTAAGAGTAGTGGTGTAGAGGGGCCCTTGGATCAAGAAAAAACAAAACAGCAATGGTCCCAGATGGAACTTCAAGATTTGTAGGAGACTGTGTGTAACCATCTGGGCAGGAACAAGACAGTCTAGAGACACTTTGTCTCCCTCCCTTTGGATGTCACACTGTTGAAACATTGGTTCCCAAGGAATTGGAATTTCCTCAGGAATCATACTGGAAAAAGAAAAGGGCTGAGTTCCAGTGCCAACAGCAGTAGGAACTTGTCTCCCAGGAAGACGTCACAGAGCTCTGACAGCTTGTCAGACCACCTAACAGAAGAGACTGGAGCTGAGACAGAGCTGCAGGGCAGCACCACACCTTGACCAGGACTGCTCAGTTTTGCAGACCTCTTGCCCTTTGCAGACCTTATATCACAGGATCCCAAAGATGAACTTGGGGTCACTGGTACTCCTCGCAACGTGGCTATATTGAATAATCTGTTTTCTCTGTTTCTTCACTCGTCTCTTTAACTGGTCTACAGAGGATGGGTGCCCTACTTTGCCAGGGCCCAAATTTTGACCTTAACAATTCTGGTAACTAATTCAGTAAGCCAGAAAGGAGAAAAGTCACATAGTAGGTATCAAGCCACTTGCAGCAAGTTGGCCCTGGATGAAGAGGAAAAACTGGACAGTCCCACACAGCAGTTAAAATCCCTTTATAGGGATTTTTTTCCATTTCAGCATGAGCTCCTTTCTAACTGTATTGGGTGAGGCAGAGAAATGAGTATTTTGGACTTTGTTTTGGACTACTGTCACGGAAGCTTGTATCCTTGGTAAGTTTGTCCCTGATTGGTGTACTTTACTTAGGCTTTGCTTTCCATTTGGTTTGGAGATTTCTTCTGAGTACTGAGACTGAATCATTTGGGTCATCATGCCATTAGTATGAAAAGCTTTGTCAATTTGGAAGTTCTTTTGAGAAAATGTGAGCATCTGCCTAGTGACAGGGTTGAAGTGGCTTTGTTCCTGGAGTTCTTCTAAGCCTTTGGGATTCTGTGGAACCATTTGGGACACAGAGAAAGAAGGGTGTTGAATAGATCTGTATTGTGATTTTTGTATATTGGTGCCCCTAGGGAGAATTTGAGCTGACTAGTCTTTTGTAAACTTTTGTGTATTTGTGTCTAAAGTAGCATGGGGAAAAAACTCAATCTGCCCTTAGAGTTCCTGAAAATAACTTAATAGCACACCATTTCATGTTTTGTATTTTTTTTTATCTTACTGTGTTCTGAAATTACTTTTCCTGGCATGTCTAATTTGAAGTGTGTGTCTCTGTGTGTGTCTGTATGTCTGTGTTGTCTGTGTATGACTCTGACCTTTGGGGTGATTTTTAGATTATATTAATGTATAAAAACTGTTTCTGCCAGGCATGGTGGTACACGCCTTTAATCCCAGCACTTGGGAGGCAGAGGTAGGCGGATCTCTGTGAATTCAAGGCCAGCCTAGTCTACATAGTGAGTTCCA